TTCACAAGGTAGCCCCCGTCAATAACTTTACAGCTCAGCAGACTTCAGCAAGGGGTGAAGGCGGAAGTGTGATCGACTTCCCTAAACCCTAAACCCTAAACCCTAAACCCTAAACCCTAAACCCTAAACCCAACACAAGCAAAAACATGACTCAGGTTGGATTTATTCGGGAGGTGCGGGGTGGGAGGGCGGAGAGTTGCAGTATGCGGGGGGGGAGGAGGCAGGGGAGGGCTTGTCTCAAAAGCCTTACATCCTAACATCTTAAGCGTTTTCCATAATCTGGGTGGCACTTTGGGAAACTTTNNTCAGGGCCCCAAGACTACAACCCAGTAATGTATCGTTCTGATTTCGTTTTAAAGACTCTCTTGGGCTTCACGAAGTCGAGTAAACCATGGGTCGAATTCTTCAAGCTTGTTTTGACCCTGCGAAATTACTGTAGTTCAGTTTTTGTTCATGTTTGGGGTTTGTGTTTCGGATTTAGNNTTAGGGTTTAGGGTTTATTAGGGGTCTTGGGGTCTTGTAAATCCTAAACCCCAAACCTCCTTGAAGTAGGTGTCCTGTTCTTTTTATGTCTCTGCCCAAACCTTGGCGTCAGGGTTTAGGGTGCAGCAGCCATGTAGCCTCATGTTTTGGGGGCACGCGTTCTAACCCCCAAACCATCCTGGACCCCTACGGTTTAGGGTTGAGGGATGAGCAAAAAGACCTACATCTTTGAGGCTTCTCATTATGGGTTTTCTTGGATAAATCCGCGGAAAAGTAGGTTTTGAGGGTTCAGTTCAGCCCTAAGCTTGCAACCGCAATAGCAAAGAGGTACCGCTGTTGGTGGCGAGTGGGCTCTGGACCTCAAGCGACCATGCTAGTGCGGGACTGACATGGAGTGTTTGGTTTTGGGCTTCAGGGACTTGGGCTGTCACCACACTCACAGCCAGAAGGAGAGGATGACAGTTAGAATAGCAGAGATACCGCTAATGAACCCTATCATCGCAGCGACAAACAGCAATAGCAAGATCAGCAGTCATGACCACAGTGTCATCAACAACGACCAGGAATTGCAGCAAATACCGATGCTTCGGTTGATGATATAAATCC